TACTATATAAATGTTATGAGGATGTGGTCTCCCACTTTCTCAACTGCCACAGGATGGAAAACATACCATGTGGTTACAAAGGAATGATTCATGTTCCAGGTTGGGCATGTAAGAACAGAGTGAGATTTCATCATGTTAGTCAGAAGGATAATTTAAAGCTTAGGAGTTGTTATTTCTGAACTTTCTAATAATATTTTAATTATATGGGTTATTGCAGATAAATGAAACCTTTGAAAGTAAAACTGTATAAAGTTGTACCACTGTAGGGAAACAATAAACACACATCTTCTAAGATTTAAAGAAATATTATATACTGCACCTCTATTATTAATATTGCTTTAAAATCATAATGAAATAACAAATCAGCAACAAGGAAAATAAAAACATAAATATTGATAAAAAAAGGCAAACCGTCTACCAAAATTTAAAAAAAAAATGTTTTTTATCACCAATGAAGTGATCCTTAATAACTCTATAAAATGACTGAAATTGCTAGACTTGGAGGCATATGCCTATAATCTAAGTTAACTTTATTTCCACTAGAGTTCACTTATTATTATCATTTTGCTTTCCATAAAGCCAACTCTCAACACATATTACAAATTATCATTTTCTCTATTCAATTATGCAAATATAAACCAGAGGGCTAAAGAAGCAGAATCACAAGTTCTAGGATAGCTGATATCCCTCAGTGAGATCCTGTCTCAAAATAAATTGAAAAGGACTGGAAGCAGAGCTCAGTCCTCACTTAACAATGTTAAGTGTAGATCCACAGTTCAATCCCATTTCCAAAACAATAACAATAATAACCACAACAGCAGCAGCAGCAGCAAAAACAACTAAAATTAGTATTGGCATTGTGAGGTTCATTCTGTAATGTCAATATAAAAATTAATTATAATTTCAAGGTATCAGCAAAACCTAAATTGAAAAATAAAATTAAAAAATATGTGTAATCTTTGTTGATAAATTGAAAAATATACAAGACTTTTATACAGAAATCTTTTAAATTCTATTTTGAAGCTAAAGAACAAAATAACATTACAAACATCATGTTCATGGATTTGGAAAGCCATAATGTTAAGATCACCATTCTCTTCAATTTCATCAATAACTAACATTCTATCTAAATTTTTATTAAGAATGTGAAGCTAATTAAGAAATTCAAACCTAGTTCTGACATGCTTTTCAAATTAAAATTTTATTTTTAAATTAAATTGTATGTTTTTAAATGATTCAATTTAAAACCATACTATATAGACATATTACTGAAGACATACTGGCATAAAAATAGATATTGGTTATCTAGTAGAACAGAACAAATTGTCCTCAGTTATATCCACACACATATGGTCAACTGATTTTGAAAAAAATTTCCAACATAATTAAATAGCTAAAGAAGTATCTTTTCCAATAAATAATAATGAAATATGTAAGTATTTCTATGAAAAATAATTAAATTAAAAATTCTGCTCTTTATATTATTAAGAAAGTCATTTAAAAATTCATAGTCATGATGCCGACTAGGAGAAAGTGTTCAAAATCAATAGAATTTTTATACTAAATATATAAGACCCTTAAAATTCACTGATAAGTAAAACCTAATTAAAAATAGGAAATACATTGAGTTCAAAATATTTATATTTTGTATAAAATACAAGTGACCAGTAAACATGTGAAAAAGGGTTCTATTTCATTAGTTATCAGTAAATAGTAAAACCACTGTGGTATCACAGTACAAAGCCAGCAGAAGAGCTAACATGAAAGACTGATAATTGCAAATGTTGCTAAGGTTGTGAACCTATTGGAGCTCTGGCACATTTTTTTCTGGAAATATGATATTCTCGACTAAAGAAAACTAAATAAAGACAATTTCTAGAATAGATAAGTATGTACTTATTGACTTCCCAGAAATACCTTTCCTAGTTCTTCACCACTCAAAAAGAGAAAAGAATATGTATCTACAAACATCTTATGCAAAATATTTATGGATACTTTATTCATAATATTCCCAAGCAGAAAACAAATTGCAGATGAATGATCATACTATGGCATAATCTTCCATGGGGAATAGCAATCACTATGAGAGTAAGAAATAAACTTCTGATTTATAGGACAGAGATGAGTTGCAAATATATCATGCTAACAAAAGATGTCAGGTAGAAGATTACACCTTGCTAGTATTACCTCACCCCCAAGTGAAATATTCAAAATGAGATCCAGACATGGGATGGATAGGTGATAATTTCCCCTCTTGAGAGCTAAAGAGTTGGAACATCATGACTGTGATCAGATTTCCAAACTTCCACTGAAGTCCATTTATTATTATCATTTTGCTTGCCATAAAGTCAACTCTCAACATATATGACAAATCATTTTCTCTGTTCAATCATGCAAATATAAACCAGAAAGGAACTTCCTTTTCTAAAGTAACATCTTGTTATGGTTATAATAATATACTATGTTGACTTTAAACTTCAGTATTTTATAATACCTGTTTTATGAATTTATCATTGTAATTAAAAAGTAAACCTTTTATTTCCAATTAAAATATTAATCATACCTGCCTTTCAGGAGGGTTAAATTTTGTTTCTATTATGCCAAAGATTCTCTTATTCATTTGCTGTTATGTTTATATAAAAATGTGTTTAACATATCTCATTCTTACTGTTCTCCACTATGACAAAATATAGATTCCTTCATAATTTCAACAAGTAAAATATTAAATCCTTTACAAATTATGAACATGCATGTTCAAAAAATATTTTTATTTAAATAATTTGCAAATTCTATTGTAATAAAAATTCAAAACACTGATATGATCCCATGTGGATGTAAGCTTTAGGCAGAGAACAGAATGAGACATAAGTAATTCTAATGTAGCTCAAAAATAATATGATGCTTCTTGTCTTGAGTAGGCATTCAGACAAATGTTGAGAAGACATAAAATATTTCACAGTTACAGAAAATATAATAACCCACATATCCTGAAAGAATTTTTAAAAAAATTTAAACTAGTTTTCACTATCGTTCAATCATTAACCAAATCTTTAAATATGATATACCCATCTCAGTTCTTTAATGAGTCTTCATCAAAATCATACTTTCTATTTCAAGAAGTTGTAATTTAATATAGTTTAGAAGAATTGGCTTATATTGAAGGCAAGGATATAGACAATTTATAATTAATCTCCATGAAAAAAAAAAAAGATTTTAAAAGAAATTGTTCTAGGTAGTAAAGAAACACTGGATGACATGTGTAGCTGATCAGCATCTTACAAAGAGGAGGACTCAGTCATTGAAAGTGAAAAGTGTAGGTGTTTTAATGGAGACACACAGCAAGAGCACAGCTGCAGGGTACAGTTCTGCTTGGAGTCTGCATTCCTGAGAAAACTGGTCTACCACATATCCAGATGTTGTTAGATAATGTGTGTTGCAGAGAGATTATAGAAGCCCTTAAAAACTACATGGAAAATTTATAACTTTACACACAGTGAATACATAACATGAAGTTTTGAGAATAATATGATGTAACTAATAGTGCAGAATGATCCATATAGTAACATTGAAATGAAGAATTCCAAATGGAAGGTAAACTAAGAACACCAGAAAGCAATTATATAATTATCAACATTATGTTTAATTATTAAAGAAACTGTCACAGATTAATTAAAGAAGCAATCAACTTATGATTGATACATGGACATACACTCCCTTTAAAGCAGGTTCTGTAAATTTCTATTTTTTATTATTCACAATGATATAAACTACTTTAATGTCTAAAATTCTTTTGAGAATATACATGTAGTGAAAAAGAAAAGATTCTATTTTTACATTAATGCACCCCCATTCAAAAATATATTCCTACCAATTACAGTTTCTCCTTGATTTATGAATGGGTTATATCCTCTTAGCACCTTGATTTATGATGGGGTTATATCCTGATAAAGCCATTGTAAATTGAAAATATCATAAATAAAAGAACACATTGAATACACCTAAGCTACCGAGCAAGCTATGGGTTAGCAACACAGTAGCCTACAGTTTATCCCCTGTTTACTCTTGCTTTCTTTCTTTTTTTTTCTGCCTGGGAGCTGACACTTGCTGCCGCTGTCCAGCATCCTGAAGAGTATCCTGCCTAATACTGCTGGCCCAAGAAGACATCAAAATTCAAAATTCAAAGTACCGTTTCTATTGAATGGTATCATATTTGCATTACTGTAATGTTAAAAAAAATAGACAAAGTATAATTGGAACCATCTATAATTCACTAAGTACGTGTATTTTCTTCTGACTCTTGAAGACATAATATTGCAATATTTATAATACATAAGAAAAATATCTTCTAGGGCAAAGCCTCTGATTATCTAACATCAACCATAAGACCTCTTTGGAGAACAGCTTAGCTAAACATGAAGATTCTCATAGGTCCTGTCAAACACAGACTATCTGAGAGCTCTAACAAATCTGTTAGGGAAAATGAATTTATAGAATGAACAATACTGTGTATTTCAGATAATCTGAGTGCAAATTCCATCACCACCTTGTCCCTTCATTTTCCTGAGCAAAGATTATCACTTCATGTAGCAGAAACCACTCTACAAGGCTTAGAAACATAAAAAAGATATATTTTTCTACTCTTGCCTAAATCTGTGAACATCATAAACTTGAGGCTTAGAAAGCACTGTAACAAAAATTTCAATTGTTCAGGCAAGCAGCTATTTCCATACAAATTTTGACTAGCATTGTTAAAGTACTCTGCAATAGTTTGGAAATGAAATCAAGAAATACTTTCATGAAAATTCTATGATGATTTCTGCAAAGCACTCTGATACAAAGAATTGCAATTTACTACATGATAAAAAAATTTATTATCTTTGATACAAAGAGAATAAATCATCAAAACTTTTCTATGCCTTTAAGAAAGTCTACACAAAAGATCAAGAGATCAAGCAAAACAAAACCAACTAAAGCAGAGAGCAACAAAAATCATCACTTACCCATACTTTGCAAAATTTGCCCAAGATTTCATAATGAATCTACTCAAAATTTCCTCAGCTCTTGTGTAGTTAACTCTTCTTTCCAGAGGTAAACCAAAGACAAATTCAATTTCATAGCCATGCATCACTCCCATCCATTCTGGCCAAGGAAGTTTGGAAGATCGGTGTTCAAAATAGTAGAAAAAGGCATTGTTTCCCAAATCTGAGAACTTCTTGGTAAACTCCAAAGCAGGACATATGATATTATAATCGCCAACAACATCATCCAAGGCCTCACGGTAGTTTTCAGGTCTCTGATCATCTAACCAATCAGCATAATGGAAAAGAATTGATTCCTTCCCAAATTCACTCACTCCTTCGAAAAACATTTTTAGACCTTCTTGAAACTCCCTCCTTGTTATGATACTATTGTTATCTTTGCTGAAACCAGGAACACCATATACTAGAAAAGCTGTCCCTTCATCTTTATTAACACCCACCAATATCTGAGTCTTTTTGAATTGTCCAAGTTGGAGTAGTGTGTCTGGCATGTCAGCGAGGAAATCACCATCCACAGTGGGACCAAATTTTACTGACAAGAGAGTGTCATAAGGGAGAACAAACACTTCATTCAGAAGAATTTCCTGGGGATCTTTATTTTGAAGGCATCTTATTATCTCTGTCTCATTCTCACTGGAGCAACCAATAAATTTTGCTAAGGTCAAGGTTCTATTCCTGGCTTCATAAGGAGAAATTACTGCCCAAGGGGCATTAGAGGATCCACTTTGAAGGATGGCTCTGGTGAACAAAGGGTGGCTTCTAGGAGAAAGCAAATGAAAGCTCACTGAAGCTGCTCCTGCACTTTCTCCAAAGAGAGTAACGCTTTTAGGATTTCCGCCAAAGGCTGCTATATTTTTATGGACCCACTGAAGAGCCAGTTGTTGATCAAATAAGCCCATGTTCCCTGGAGCCTCTTGGTTTCCTGGTAAGGCTAAGAATCCTAGGGCACCCACCCTATAGTTCATTGAAACTACAATAACTCTTTCAACCCGAGCCAGGAACTTGCCATCATAGACATGTAAAGAGGATGTCCCAGTCTGAAAGCCACCACCATAGATCCATATCATTACAGTAGCATTCTTTGGTTTAGGTGCCGGAACCCACACATTCAGATATAAGCAGTCCTCACTGAGGTCGGTGTTTGGATTCCACATCTCTGATCCCGGAAAGCCTGGGAAGCTTTCATCAATGTTCTGATAGCAAGAATTTGCATATTTTGTGGCATTCCAAATGTCAGACCACTTATTCAGGGGTTGTGGCTTTTTGAATCGAAGCATACCAAGGGGTGGCTGTGCATAAGGAATTCCAAGAAAGGCAGTGACAGTGCCACCAAGTACTGATAAGCTCATCCCTCTCACTTTCCCGATCTTGGTTGTAATTATCATATCTTCTTCAGTGTGTGACTTCCTAATAAGCATGCAGAGCAGAAGAAACCACAAGAGAAACTGAACACCTATAAATGAGTGCTTGTTCTGCATGTTGATTTCTGAAAGAGAGGTAAGCAGAGATTTTGATTACTCTATGTATAAAGTGTTATACTTTATTGATGATAATTTACTAAAACATATTGCTTCTTTTTATCCTAAAAAATATGAACACTACAAAGTCTGCTATCACTACAAAGGCATAAATTTGGGGGGCGGGAACAAGAAAATTAGGCTATTTTAGTTTTCAATTTACAAGAAAAATAAGTAGAATGGAAAGTAGAAGTAACTTTGTTTTTGAAATATTCATGATCTGTAAAGATTTTATATTTTAAAGAGGAAGTTTGTCCCAAGCTTATATAATATCAATTATGCACTATGTACAGCCACATTAAATATGGCATTAAGGGGTATGTCAGGTATAATTTCTGCCTTAGAGGACAAAATACAAGCTCATGTATTTTTTGAAATATTGGCTTGTTGGCTTATGACAAAACTGTGAAGTACATAAAGAACTTTTTAGGATCCATAGACTTCTACTATTGCCCTTTTTTGCAACATGGTCCCTTTTATGGTCCTTTCACTTACTAATTTCTCTTTCTATACAATCTTAGTCTATTGTCAAGAAATGACTTAGACAACGTATTCATAGAATGTTAAGTAACAAAAATATAACAGTTGAAGATTATTTTATAAATCATAAAAAATAACAAATCTGCTCCATTAATAAAAAAAAAAAAAAAAAAAAAAAAAAATGAGGAGGGCCAGGGATGCATCCCAGGGAAATTTTTCTGAAATTTAATAAGGATGAGGAGCTTCTGTCTGAATTACAAATCTGGTGGTGAGAACAATGACTGATATTATAATTGTATGGAAGAAGATACTGGCTTAGAAGTGATTGTACACAATGCACATCTGCTAAATTGTTAATTTCTTGAAGAATATGTAACTGGTTAAATGTGTTAGCACAGTCAGAGTTATTTCTGTTTTGATGGTGGACAAAATGACTGAAATCAGAGGACCATAGCTGAGAAGTTAAGGGGATAACTGAAACAAGCAAAATAATTTTTGCGAAGTACAAAATAATAAATATTTAACATTTTGTTAAATTCTATTTTTGATGATATAAAGATGTCATTTGGATAGATATACGTTTTATCAAAAATTTTTAATGGATATCTAAGTTTCTTTTACATAAAAATATTAAAAAACACATCAAAAACTATGTTCTAAAGAGGGATTGAAAAACGTAACACAAATATTTTTTAAAAGAACTAACATCTTTATATAACTGCAAGAAATACAATTAGAATATTCATTTATAAGTAGTGGTTTTCATCTATATAAATATATAAAATATATATAAAATCTTTATTTTTTTTCTGATGCTGTAATTATAAATCCAACTTGCATGACCAAGAAACTAACCCTGTCAGACTTGAACATCTGTATTAGTTTTTACTTTGTTTGTTAATTTAGATTGTTTCAGAAGGCAAAGAATAAGGAGCTCTCCTGGTATGTAGAATAACTCTCAATTCTTCCAGACCTTGAATACTCATGTTTAAAATCAGCTTATTTCACCACTGTTCATAGGATAGCTAAGAAAAACAAACAAACAAACAAAAAAACAACTTTTGATTCAAACATATATCTGAATAAATTAAACCATGGTTTATATCACTTAGTTTAGAGCTTACTAGTTATGACCTTATCCACATCAAAATAAAATACTATCAATATTCATATGTAAGTACAAAAATATCTCTGTATAATATAAGTTATACTAGTATGGCAACATGTAAATCAATGGATGTGTAACTGATATGATTCTGCAATCTGTATACGGGGTAAAAATGGGAGTTCATAACCCACTTGAATCAAAGTGTGAAATATGATATGTCAAGAACTATGTAATGTTTTGAACAACCAACAATAAAAAATTTAAAAAAAAGAAAAAAAAAAGTTATAAAAAGTTCTGTCTTTAAATCATCACAGATTATTTTTATGTCCTTTGCTTTAATACTATTGAATGTGTACTAACATCAATAAAATATATTAATGAAGCAGAAACATTTTAACATTTTCTGTGCTCATGATATTTAAAACTTATTATTATTATAGTAAATGTAACTTGTTGCATTATAATAACAATAGGCAAGTAATATGTAATAATAATGTACAGTTTCTGGTAGCCTAACATTTACTATGGGAGTTACAGACTTTTAACAGGAGTTTTAGAGGCACTGCTATTATAGTCCTTTTTATTCTTTTTTCCTAATAATTAGTAAGTCCTTTTACATAAATAAATGGATGAGATTAAGTACTGTGCAGGATGGTTCCCTCTTTAAAAACCTTCATTGTCAAGGCAAAAGAAATAAAATACAAAGCAGGTTTAGTCTATATACCCTTTCAACAAATTAATTACAGGTTCTTGATTATCACTTGTCCTTCTTAGCTTGCTCAGTCAGTGTCCCCCTGACCAATGAAAAGATTCTCTATTGTTTCCTTGATCTTACTTAAATATTGGTTTATCTTTAAGAATCAAACAAAATGTTAACTCTTTTTTGGCCTCTGATTGTTTAAAAACTTTTTTCTACAAATATTTTACTAATTTTATTGCAATGCAGATACAATTACTAACAAGTGCATTATTTCATATATAATTAATAAATATGGTAACTTTATTACATTTACAATAGGTGTTATTTCATCTAAAAGGTTGCAATATCATTTTCATGTCACTTACATTAATTTACATAAATATTTTTATTTACATTTCAAGTATATCTCAATTTTATGCAATACTATTTATATAAATTAGAGAATTTTTTCAATAATTATGAGTTTTACCTCATAAATAATGTAATTTTTATCATTAAAAACAAGTGTTTTAAGCATACAATTATTGCAAAGATAACTATGTAGTTTTGACACAAATGCTACTTGTTGAAGATTGTTATATACCATAAAAGTAAACCTATATCTTCATAAGAAAATTTGCAAATGTTCACATACTTCCTGTAGTTTGAGATTTTTATATTTACCTTCATTGTTTTGTTTAAATAAACATCAGTTTGTTGTTATAATCTGATATTCTGTATTTTAACACATTGGTTTTACAGTCTTCCAATTTATGTTTTTAAAATAGAAATAAATAAAAGAAGACTAACAAAATGTTACCAGTCTACATGTCTAAATTGTTAAAAATGATTAAAATATTCAAGAAAAATTCATTGTTTCTCTTTTCATAGATTCTGTGGCAACAGCCACTGAATACACATATTCATACCAAGTTTATCATAAAAAATGGGGCAAATTTGCACAACAAGTTCAACAATAAAAGGAATTTAGATCAATTAACCTATTGAAGTAGTAGATAATATTTGAAAGAAAGATGAGGCAAAAGTAAATTAATAAACTCCAATTTTATCAAATGCTCCAGGACATACAAATTAAAGTGGTGATTTTTTTTGAAATTCTGAACTTTCAAAAATATAATTTAAAAAATAAAACTCAATAACTTTCTTCTTTTTGCATTTTATTTTAAAAATTATCAAAATTCTCCAGTCAGTTATAAGAGTAAATATGCTGTGTTATAGTATACTGGATGTGATTAACTGACTTAAATAAAGAATTATATATTTACCACTTATTTGTCATAATTGGATATCAACTAAGTATTTAAAATAATAGGCCAGCCAGTGCCTACATAAAGAAATGTCAAAAATATTTCTAATAGTCTTCTCTGCATATTAGTTTTCCAATGTTTAAAAAGTCACAATAAAATGTATCTTTTTATTTGAAAACAAATCCTATTAAAATGTTGAAGAAAGAGCAATCTAGATAATATTGATATGATCTAGAACACGAACCACTAAAATGATTTGGTCATTTTAAAACAAATAAGTTCTTATATCAAATCCCCAAACCTTGTTTCATATCATGTTAAGAAAAGTGGGAAATTGAGAAAGACTATTTTGCACTATGCCACTGTCTCTCAGGGATCTTTCAGTTATCCGGTAGGCACTGAGAGGCAGTATACAGATAGAAGACAATATTTTATGTATGAGAAGCACAAGATCTGTGTCTGTCCTCAATCAAGAAAAGTGCTCACACACTTTCACTGTAGAAATAATTTGAACCCTTTATATTTAGATCTCTAGGTCTTCTCCAGAAGTTGAATTTTCTCTGAGGTTGTCATCTATTCTATTTCTCTTTGACAGTCCAGTTTTCGTAAGAGTGAGCAAATTTTAACAAAAGCATCAAAACAAACATGCTGTATAATTTAAATAAGTATTATTATTGTCTATAAATAAATCAAAGAAGGTACTACATTTGTACAGAAGATATGACTTGTTAAACTAATACTTGCTTATACTTTATAAAAATATAATATGGAATAGGTCTTGGATGCTTTTTACAACTAAAAAAGTGGGACATTGCAAATAAACAAAAATAACACAGCTAGGAAAATAAAATATAACTTTGAAAATCCAGTTAGAAATTATTTTTTGGATCCAAAGACCACGTTATTTTACACCTACAGAGAACTCTAAGGAATACCCTTCCAAGCAATATGCCACACTTCAAATGCTCAATCTTATCCTCAAGTAAAGAATTTATAAATGAGAAAGTTTCATTTATCACTAGTAATAGTTTATATTAGGGATACATTTCACATAACATTCTTAACTGACATATATTAATAAAAAAGTAGAAGACCTACTCCAAAAATAAAAATGTATATAAAAAACAGAAATTTAAAAAATGAAACAATTGTGTTCACATTTCAGTCTTTTTTCAATTTAACACATTTTATACTTTTAAAGCTTAATGCCCTGGTGATTATTGATGGTTACTGATGTCAAAAAATAACATTAAGTTTAGAAGATTAAAACATCAGCAGGAAGTCTATATTTGCTTAATATTTCTAAATAATAAAATAACAGTAAATATAAGATATTTTGCTACTATTTAAAAATGCCTGTTTAAAAAAAAAAAAAGTCTAACCAGGCAAAGGGAAAACATTTGTAAATCAACTTAGGAAACAGATTTTTGTTTTACATAAAAGAAAAGTTGAGCTTCTGTCTGTTGATAATGTGAAAGTTTCAGACGACAAGATATTGATTGAGAAATTACTTTGCTAAGTAAACAGTAAGAGAACTATTAATGTTATGCCACTTCAAAAAGGGGAGAAAATAGATCAAATCTGGCCAAAGATCACTTTTATTACTCTTTCAAGGCAAGAGCCATTAATCAGTGCATTTAAGAATAAAGTAGTGTAAAATATATTTCCTTAAGGAGCTCAGAAAGAACGAATATCACAGTGATATTTGATTCCACAAGTGATATGGCCCTTTATGTGGAGAATAAACTCCTATTCCCTCAACAGTTATGGGGACTAGATCTGCATTCCCAGGAAAATAGAAAGATCTGATGCATGTGCTGGCTCACTTGCTTCATCTGTCCCATTTGCAAGCTTCAGTGACTATTCCCCACAGAGCACCAAAGGGCAAACAAACATGTGAAGAAACCACACTCCTCCCACAGAATGAGCCTCACAGTAACTTACATCTCTGAAAAAAAAAAGTGTAAATTCAGATTAACTTACCCGACTTTCTGCAAAAATAAAGATGATAAAGTTTGCAAGGAGTAGAAATCATGCAATTCTTCAGGGAAATGAAGGATGCAGCTGCTGCTCCAGCCTGTAAATTGGACTGCACTGACATTACAATCAACTGTTACTGACAAAGCTCGCGAGAATTGGCAGCAGCAACTTGATCTAGAGGCAGCCAATCTTTACTTTCTGACATCTGTTCAGAGGCTAATGGTATGAATGCAGTAGTGATTCATTTACAAAAGTATTACTGGATCATGCTTTATAATCACAGGCAGTCTTCTAAGACTGAAAAAAAAGATATGGAAGCATTTTAAAACACAAAATGCACGATTTCTTAACACTATCAGAACTTTTTTTTTCTTTTATAGCTTTTTCCTATGCTTAAGATTTAAAGATGCACACTTTGTTGTAAAGAAATGATGTTATTGAAATTTGCTATTCAATCTGCTAAAATTATGTAGTTTTAAAGTATCATAAAAAAGAAAGTGAGAGACAATCACTCTGTAGATATAAAGCTATTCAAATCAAATGCCTAGTTTTATTAACTAAATGAACATCTCTGATATGTGTCCCTTTTCATTCCCCACGTCTCAACACTTATTTAAGTCATACAAATTTCACTGTTCATAGTAATTTACTTTTCAGGGAGCCCTGCATGCAGGTGTATGCAATGAAAAGCTGCAATTTTCTGGCCAAGTCAAGGAAATACCATGAAAGATCTTCAACAAACTCTGTAAAAAAGGCTTTTTGTAGCTGGTAGCTGGCAGTGCATATGCAGGGGAGGATGTATTTTTATCTTTCATGCTCATCTTCCCTGAAAGACATATTAGGTAAAAATTTTAAAAGAAATACTTCTAATGAACTCTTTAATACCTGAATTCTCAGTGCTGTTTCATTTTTCATCTTTTGTAAATGAGTTCTTTCACTTTTAAATATCTTATCTTTGGTCTCACTGAGGACTAATCAGAAGGCATGTATTTGTAGAAAGGCTGATTTTTGGTATTCAATATTTTAAATATTAAAAAGCAAATATAAAACCTGGCAATTTCTGTTGTTATTCCATCGTGTACCAAGCATTAAAACTAACAATTTACATAAAATATATTTTTTTTAAATTTAGTTAACATTCTTAAATAAACTTTCAGATGATGAAGCTAAGGCTTGGAAAAAATCAGAAATTTGCTATATGTCCTACCATAAGTAGCTGTGGGAATCAGAATTTTAACATGGATTTGTCTGATATCATTTCAAGTCAACTGATTCCCAGGTGATAGTCATTTTGTTTTCAGCTTGTCTTTTTTTGTATGAAAATTACTACTTAGGCAGTATGGACTAGCTAATAAACTTCACAATAATGATTTATAATGTATTTAGAATATAGTTTTTCTAATAACCTAGTTTAAGAAAAGTTACAGAATACATGGTGCATCTAAATGTAGAAAAAGTCTTTTTAAGAGGAAGTATGCTGACAGTTTTGCTATGGGTTTCAAAGTAATGGCATTTTGCTTTAAAATGCATTAATTCTGATGGCTTACAAGGAGGCCATTAGTTCAATGTAGTGATTTACTTATTCAAATGTCAAAATTCTTCTTCCCACACAACTCCATTGCATTGTTTTCTAAGCTAGTATATAGTTAATCTTATTTTCAAACCCTGCAATTATTGAGGATTTTTAATTTTAGTGAATTCAGCAGAGTATTTTGCATGCTCCTAATACCCACTCAATGCTATACAAAACTTATCACATTTTTACACATAATTTAATTTTTGTTATGAAAAAAAGATGCTAAAAACAAAATCAGTTACAAGCAGATGTTTAAACTGATTACAAAACCTGACATTTTTTTTTCCTGCTTACTGTTTTTACTCAAGTGAATCATCTTTAGCTCTTGCCCATTTAGTTCACCACTCTCATGGTTTCTAAGCTATGCCCTGCTGTCAGATGCATTACTTTACTTCGTCCTTAAAGCATCTCTTCTTCCTGTCATACTTGAGTGGTTTCCTCTGTGGCTCAACATAGAACAGCTGATCTGCTTTGGTGGCGTCATTCTTTTCTGACACTACTAGCAGGAGGATGTAGGTCACACAAAGTGAGTGTGTTTCAGGGTTAGTAGGCAAGGGTTATTCACATCCTTGATGGTTAGCGATCCTGCTGTTAAATGTTAAGTATGCTGAAAAATGACACTGATGAAATGCCACAGACTCTTGACATAGCATTAATACGGCTCAGGTTTTGTAGCTACATAAGCTAAAACTTGGTCTTGGCAACCATTATGGTCTTGTCTTTACAGTGGCTTCCAGTTACCCAGCCGCGATGCCTTGAGTTTTTAAGGTTTAATTGTGATTCAGTTATCAGGGGCTAGATGTTTTCTTGATTCAAGAAAGATTTTAAACTGTGAGTCTAACATTACTCCTAGGAGAGGCCGGGTGCTGTGGTACACGCCTGTGATCCCAGTAGCTTGGGAGGCTGAGACAGGAGAATCATGAGTTCAAAGCCAGCCTCAGCAAAAGTGCCTATTCTTAGGTCTGATGATGCCATAAAAGTGTTCTAATATTTTCTTTATTAATACTTTCTTTAACAAGATAAATGCATTTTCTGAAAAAAGTGTGGTTTGCAAATCAAAGTACATTTCTGGGCTGGGGCTGTAGTTCAGTATCAAAGCACTTGCCTGGCATGAGTGAGAACTTGTGTTCGATCCTTAGCACCACATAAAAATGAGACAAATAAAATAAAGGCATGTATACATCTACAACTACAAAAAATAATTTAACAGTTATAAAAATATATATATTTCTACATTTTATATGTCACAAAGCAGGAAAATCACTTTGGGGTATTTTGTTTAATTTTGAAAAATCTTGTAGTGGTTATGGTTACGTGGCTATATATAGCATTGGTTGCATGATTTGATATAATTTTTCCTTTATTTCATGGTACTAATTACCTATTAAATCATTGTATGATGGTATATTATCATACAAGTATAATTATTTTACCTTTTGTTATATTATGATAATAATCTTAGATAATAATAATCTTATGATAATAATCTTAAATAATAAATATTATTTACAAACACTGTTATATACTGTTTGAATATATTAATTCTTTTAAAAATTATAATCACCTTTAAAAGTAAGTAGTCTTTTATTCTTATTTTTGATTGAATAAATTCATCCACAAAGGGTTTTAACTAATTATTCCTCATATCATGAAGGCATTGAACTTTTTTTCTAATATTCATGAGATCAGTGACTATAACAGGCATTTCATATATGGATATTTGAGTATCTTTTTCCTATTTTCTTTATTTATCCAGAAATGTAATAAATGACTATCACTACAACAAAGTAGATTTTCATCTTCTGAGATTCTCCACAGACTATTTAATAGGAATGTATCCAACAGTCTTGGCAAGGGAAATGTTCTTAATCAGAATAAATCTCAACAAGTCTTTGGAGCCAAAGAATTAGACATTCATTCCCAAATGTGACAGGTGTTTGAAGATGGCTTTCTCAGCAGACAAAGTGGACCCAATTATGCAAATAATAAAACACTTTGAGAATAAGATAGCAACTAATATGGAAATGCCTGTGGGCAGGGCATCAGTAAAGCAAGTTGTCCTTTTGGAATTAAGGGAGAGTGAGTAACAGGAAGTTATGATGCTTTTTATACAAGGATGCTTGTAATTTACAGGAAGTTTTTGAAAGAGGTTTAGAGTCACAAAAAAATTAGAGAGAATCTGGAGGACTAAACTCTAAAAGCATAATCAAAAATCAAGAAAACCCCACATCTTCTAAGGAAATAGGATACCAAAAACTTTTTCATGGAAGTACAAAGGCAGGAAAAATTAAAATTAGCACAGGTCTTGAGAAAAGAAAGAGAAACTTTTTTTAAACACACATGAAAAAAAAAAGTGGAGAGAGATAGAAACAGCAAGTTTATTTATTTATGATTTATTTACTTGGCTTGAATATACTTTGGCCAAACACTTGATTAGTCTTGGAGTTCTACTCTCAGAAAAAAAGTGTACATTAACAAGTCAGCAAATCAGAGCGCTTTTTAGAAATTTAGATTCTCAAGCCACATTCCAGGAATTTGGCTTTAGTATATCTGGAGAGGGATCCTTTAAACTCTTCTCCTAATTGAAATTGTTTGGAGAAGTTCTATACCAGAAAGAGGCAAATCCTTGACCCTATATCTTGAGGAAATTGTCCTACAAAATTTATTCTTTATCTTTTTTCTTTATTTTGCTCATGCATAATTAAGCAATTTTCCATAATTTGGAGATATGTCACATATATTTTTTGTGCTATATTCATATAACCTATTTTAAGTTACTTCAAAATAATGCTATCAATTTTTTAAAACTTTGTTTTATTGTCTATATTAACACCTTTAATGGATGTAGCAT